TTGTTTAAACTTGGAGCAAGAACAGTTTTCTTTCTAGAAGTGACCTAAAAGTATATTCAGTATTTTGTTTAAACTTGGAGCAAGAACACTTTTCTTTCTAGAAGTGACCTAAAAGTATATTCAGTATTTTGTTTAAACTTGGAGCAAGAACACTTTTCTTTCTAGAAGTTAACCTAAAACTGTAGTCAGTATTTCTTATAAACCTTATGAACACTTTTCTTTCTAGGAGTGTTGAGTAGTTGGACCTTTTTTTGTAAAAATCGCTGTTAAAATTTTCAGTTTTAATTTATCGATAAGCGAGTGTGTTACTCTTGTGATTGCATCGGTTATGAAAGAAGTAGCAGCCTAAAAATTTGTTTCTTGAAAGAAAGTAACAGCTGGTGGCTTGTAATTCAAATCTTATTAATAGTAAATGAAATAATTAATAGAAAATGTAGATCGACAATATCGTCAGGATTATAGAGATCCTCCAGGTTCAATAGCTGATCTAGAGTAGATTTCTGTTTGTCCAACAATATAATGTAATGTGTTTAGCACTAGCAATACAATGTAATGAGTTTAACACTAACAATACAATGTAATTAGTTTAATACTAACAATACAATGTAATGACTTTAACACTAACAATACAATGTAATTAGTTTAACACTAACAATACAATGTAATGACTTTAACGCTAACAATACAATGTAATTAGTTTAACCCTAACAATACAGTGTAATGACTTTAACACTAACAATACAATGTAATTAGTTTAACCCTAACAATACAATGGTGAAGATGCAATGACTATTGTATATTTAACCATAAAATTAGCTCTGCTTAGCCAAAGGAGCATAGTTTTACCAGCAGAATTAGGCTGACAATTGATCAATTAACATATATTTTGAATCAGCCCTTATCTACTTTGGTTATCTAGAATGTTGTGTTGAATTTTCTTCAGTCATTATGCCTAACCAATGAATTTTTGCGTTTGATAAATCGTTCCTCAGTTGATAATTTGTTATAAATTTATTGAATACCCAAGTATTTCGATATATATATATATATATGAAACCAATCCTAAAAGCACATTTTGGAGTTTTGTATTTCTCGTCTTTTACAGAGGAGTTGCTATGATAAGCATCGACTTGAAATACGTTGACATTAATCAATGTGCTGAGGACGAGAGTATGTTTGCTGGGACTCATAAATGTGACAAAGAATCCACAGAGGTAAGATGAAAGAAAAACAAATAAGAAAGTTTAGGTATTGGTAGGAAACGATAATCTGTGTTTGAATAGTACATATTCTAACCGTTAAGACTAGAAAGTCAAACCATCCAACTCCAAGGATCAGATCAGATGTTCGCTAAAGTGACATTCAACATTTTTTTCTACCTTATGAAAAGGAAGTAAAAATCCATTAAAACATCACAAAAAAAAAATCAATGATGTTAGTAAACTTCCCGGGAAACAAAAACTAAGCAAAATGTATACACCTTACTTTAAACAACAATTTACTTGTTTTTACCAATTTTCATGTAAAGATCCTGAGAGACATTTACAAAATCTAAATGAAAGTAGATTCTTGTTTAAAAAAACTTTTGCATGTCCGTGTTTATTTTCATGTAAGTCAGAGCATCCAATTCTGAAAAACACCTCAAATTTACTGATCAACCATTTGGATGCCCCAATATAATTTTTTTGAAAATCTAGACCTATCTTTCTATTTCGAACAATCCCAAAGATCTTCATGTTCATTTTCATATAAATCCTTATATATGTATGACGTTCGGGTTGTTTTGTACTCACCACAAGGAACCTATATTTACAAAACTTTTTAAGAATATGTAACATTAATGCTACAAATTCATTTTTCTGAACCACCCAGGAGACACGTTAAGATACTAGAAAGAAATATGAGGCCCAGCCTATCATTCGATTCATCGTTTAACTGAATTAGACCAGTTTTAGGGAGTTGCAATCGCATAAGTAATTCTCGACAAAGGCAAAGCGGAAAACAAGATTGCGATTCTTATAGTAATGAACCTTAACATCATACAGATATTTTACAGATCACCGTCATAAAATAAACAAATCTTTTTTATTTGTCCTTATCCAGAGACACTGTTGAATGGTGGAATTCCTCCAATTCAATGACAAGTGGTAAATCAAATGATAGACCTGATTTCCTGTTTCTTTCTAATAAAAAATAAAACTGAGATTAAGAAATGATAAAGAACTCGATTGACTACCTACTTCCAAGGTATTTCATTTGGATTGAGGAAAGAGTTTTATCCGTCTGTGGTACTTTGAAGATTACGTTTCGAAATGATAACTCGGATCTTCATGCTGTCAGTAATAAACTTGTCCTTATATGTCAGTTAGGAACCCCTAAAACATTCAGCGTGTTTTAAATCTGGGGTTAAATAATTATACATTCTTTCTTTACAGTGCATTCACATTTCCGGAAAGGGGTTCAGGAGAGGTGCCTACAAATGTCAGTGTAGGAGAGGATATTATTTTCCCAAATCTTATTTAACGGAAGGTTTCACCGGGGGCAAACAGAATTCATTTTTGGGCTCAGAAGTGGAAAATGCTTTTGTGGCAAGTCGAGTTCGAGGGGGTTCGCCAGTAGAGGGTAGTCTCATTTATCCTGACAGCTTCCGTTGTCTTCCTTGCAAACCGGGATGTAAAACGTGTGTGGACGACACTTCCTGTTTCTCTGAGTACAACATGTTGTTAAGAAGTGTTGCGCTTGGATTACAGAGTTTCTGTACCACCATTACCATCGTAGTCGCTGTCGTCGTTTTCCGGCTGAGGAAATCCAAGGTAGTTTTCCTTTAATTTTAGAATAATTAGAAATGATTATGTTTGGAACTGTAAACTAATTGCTTAACAGTAGAGATTAAAGATAAAAGTCCAGAGATAATCGTTAGAGAGCAATAATAATCGAAACAAGAATATTTGAAATTTTAAAAGATATCGAATGGTGCAATTGTATTCACACCTAAGTCAAAAACTAATTATATAATTCAAAAATTAATACTACGTTTGGGAAACAATAAATGTATGTAAAACAAGCATTTACATTAATACATTTAGTGTTATACGTACACGTTTTATGATATCAGTGATATTTAATGTCAAGTAATTGAAAACATCGGTATTAACGAAACGTTAATTAAAATAACATAGGCTGTAAAACTCTAGAACGATACGTCCACTGAGGTAAAAACGACATCTCTAGGCTTTCATACAAAAACGTATTACTCCAAATGATGATGTACTGAAGTAATTAAACCATAATGCCATGATCAATGAAAATAATAAGAAATACTGTACCATCTCAGGCGCAAGTGTTTACCTTACTAGTGGGATCAAGTCCACAAGATCCTGCCCACCCCTTCCTCAAGACTCCTGGTATTCTACAATAGTTAACAACATTGATTAAGGCCCCTTGTAATGTTGCTTCACAGATCTCATAAGGTCTAGTTGCACTACCGGGTGTCATGGTATGTAAATATGCGAAAAATATGGTTGTTTCAGTTAAACATTGAGAATAAAACGTTTAGTGAAAATTGTCGAATGCAAAACAGTATTAGTTTTTGTTATATATATATATAAATAGACATTAAATAATCTCACTCCCTAACATTTATTGTTAGGTTTACATTTCATTTTTTATGATTCTAACACGCTCCGTAACATTTATTGTTAGGTTTACATTTCATTTTTTATGATTCTAACACGCTCCGTAACATTTATTGTTAGGTTTACATTTCATTTTTTATGATTCTAACACGCTCCGTAACATTTATTGTTAGGCTTACATTTCATTTTTTATGATTCTAACACGCTCCGTAACATTTATTGTTAGGTTTACATTTCATTATTTATGTTTCTAACACAAATTCCACAGGCTGCGTTTCTGACACGTTCTTATGTGTGCAACGTTTATATCGCATAATTTATATCCCTAACACATTCTGCTGCGTCCAACGCTTAGATCGTATTATTTATGTCTCTAACACGTTTAGTTTTGTGCAACGTTTATATCGTTTTATTTATATCACTAACACGTTCCGCTGTGCGCAGCGTTTATATATTTAGTTTCATATCTCCGACGGGGTTACGTTCTGTGTAACGTTTATATTGTATAGTCTATACTTCTATCAGTGATGGTTAAAGCAATAACAAAGCAATAAACGTACTTATGTGATTAAGGTGACTGCTAACACCAAATCAAATTTATATCAGCTAAACTTACTGAGACACATTACTGACTCTTATGACAGTTATATAACAAAGTTCTCTAGTAACGTAGAAACTGGGTTTGTTATATTCAATACAATACATGCAGAAGTTAAGGGAAAACCTCGACCCTTATTTAAAAACTATAGAACTGTTTGTTTTGACTTTCAAAATTTTAATTATTATTCAAATGTGTAATCAATCACTTGAAAAGTTTGTTTCAAGTTTTATTACTTGTATGCTGGTTGAGCTAAACCTTATTTGGTGCTAATAGAGGAAGTATGGAAAACATGATACTGAAACATTGTTTGTCAGAACGACAAGTCTGTAAAACTGAAACATGATTGTCCAACTTTACAGCAAACTTCTTGAAAAATAAAATTTATGCGTTGCTATATAATTGTTGGTCTGATATTATATAACTTATTCAAAACTTTCTCTTCTTTACCCCCAAATTACCTACGTCATAACGTTCAATTCACTACTGGTGGGGTCCACAAGTTGCGTCATGTTCAGTAATTTTATGTTTGTGTCTGTTATAACGCTTAGTGTACAAAACTGGCCACAAAAACATAAGTGAAATCACTTATTGTGTTTGTAAAGCAGGAGCTAGTGGGCTTAACTGCAACATTTATGATCTTTTGTTATTTAATGTTTTTGTGTTATTCGTGTGTTATAACAGATCCAACAAATGATGATCCATAAGCAGTTTGGTGAATAAGATTAGAAAATTTTGTTTAAAGTCCCATCTGTAACTCTAGGGTTAAGACCGTTGTAAAGAAGACACTGCTTTGCCTACGCTCTGGTTTTTATAGTAAAATATCAGTGTGGATTCATTTAACGGCATATAAGGGGAGAAAAATTGTTTTTTGGGTTTCGCGCACAGCTGCACGAGGGATATTGGTACGAGTCGTCTCTAATTTTTTTTTGCGATAGACCAGAGGATAGGCAGCTAGTCAATATCGCTAGATAAACTCACTTTGGATAACACTGCAAGCAGCTTTTTAAACACATTTTATTAAATGTCTTATTAACATGATGTTGACTATACGTACTTGAATTTTATCTTCATAAATTATACTGGTCGTTCAAAGTCAAGGCTCGATCGTGGCTATCTGGTTAGTGTATCGGTCTGAGGTTCCAAGGGTCTTACGTTCGAGACGTTATGCAGCCACTTTAGGCAGCTGGGTTGCCGGCTGCTTTGCTTTCTCTTTAGCTCACAGTTCAAAATTAGAGACGACTATGCTTGGACCACTGAATTGTTTGTCTGGCTATCACCTATTGTGTACATAAGGTAAACAAACTTAAAGGTGAGTTAGAATTTAATGCTCTTCTTTTATCTCTCGTGTTTTTTGTGGCTTATATGATTGCAAAGTTATAAGGGTCCTAGGTAAAGGGGCTAACCCCTACATTTTGAGTTATAACGGTTCTAGGTGAAGGGGCTAACCCCTACATTTTGAGTTATAATGGTTCTAGGTGAAGGGGCTAACCCCTACATTTTGAGTTATAATGGTTCTATGTGAAGAAGATAACCCTACATTTTGAGTTATAATGGTTCTAGGTGAAGGGGCTAACCCCTACATTTTGAGTTATAATGGTTCTAGGTGAAGGGGCTAACCCCTACATTTTGAGTTATAATGGTTCTAGGTGAAGGGGCTAACCCCTACATTTTGAGTTATAATGGTTCTAGGTGAAGAAGATAACCCTACATTTTGACCTCAAGTTATGTTTTGTGGTATATCATGTCATCAATTATATATTTTGTATTATTACTTTTCCAAAGATTGAACTATTTTTGTGCTATAACCCGTACCTTTGAATTTTAAATCATGCCAAGATTTAGAGCACATATTATGCCACCAGTTATTAATTTTACACGCTATTAAAGCTTTTGAAATGTTTATAGTTTTTTTGTAAAGGTTTTTTCGTTATTTTTACTCCTTAGTGGCTCAGACTGAACGCTTATGACAGTAAAATTTGGGTTCAGCTACATGTAATTGGGTTGGCACAGACAGCCAATTGTATAGCTTTGTGCATAACGACAAACAAATCGAACCGTAAGTTTTTACGTGGAACTTTGGACAACAAATTGTCTAAAGACTTAGAGCTCATTTCACTACATTTTTCAATTATGTGCTCTTATCTTGAAACGAGTTACCGGTTTTATGTTATCACGTTCTTCTCGTGGCTACTTCCGCGTGACTTAGAACTCATTTCACAACAGTCTGTAATGTTAAACTGTTTGCTATCTTCATGAAGTGTTAGCAGTTTCTTGGTACGTGACAACTTCACTTCATCTGAGAACCTTTAATTTTGGCCTCCAAACTGTGCCAGAATTCACTGCTAACTTTCTCAGTAATTGCATCCTATACATTACTAAATATGAGGATAATTTTGACCCTCCTTTCATTTTTAGCATGGACCATTTATTGGTATAAACAAAATAATCGTAGTATGTAATGTGGTCAGAAAGTGTGGTCAGAGTGACTACAGAAATGTAGTCACATCAATATTGAACTTTAAGGAAATGAATAAGAGGAAGGATCACCCAAACTTTCAAAGAAGCGTGATAATGGGTGCTCGACTAGCAGGAGCATAGTTATCAATGACCGTTTTTTTTTGGCTGGTTCTTCAAGTATACCTGTCATTAGAGTCTATCAACAATTCATGTTGTAGTCTATATTTATATGAAAATGTGTAGGTGATAGTTTGTAGTTTCCCTGTTTCGTGATTATATATGTATGTTGTGTTTCTTATTTACATTAAAATCTATATGTGACATTTTGTAAACCCTGGGTGGCTCAGCGGTAAGTCTTATAACGCTAAAAAACGGGTTTCGACACTCATTATGGGCACAGTAGAGATAGCCTATTGTATAGCTTTATGATTAATAAAAAACAAACAAACACGATATTTTTGTAGTTTTCTCTATTTCGTGAGTTTATGAAAATATATGTTTCGTGAATATACATGTTCGCCGTATTTCTTTTTTATATGAATATCGATATGTGGCTATTTGTAGTTTTCTCTATTTTCCGTGAATTTACATTAGAGTCTAAGATAATATTCTGCATGAATGTTTTACACAGCGGACGTTTAAAGAACTTGGTTACATGGAGACTCAATGCGTGGCTGTATGTGACGCACATCGGACAATGTTTCACGCTATTGTGTGCAGCAATGTCTAAGAGAAGAATATTGTCATAAAGATACATGGAGCTCCTCCAGTTATTCATTCTATTGATTCAGTGAACGTATTGAGATACATAAGTGATTAGAGGCCAAGTATCTGAAGTATGATCGAACACAGCTGACTCAGCCTTTTACAGAAATAGTAGAACTAAGGGGGAAATCAATTAAGCAGAGATGTAGAATACTTCCCTCACATCAATTGTTTTACGTAAAAAGTTGGAAAGGAGAGGAAGTGAGACCTGAGAACGATTCAACTAGAATGACGAACACGTGGAAGTTTCGAATAAAATCTCTCGTTTATGGGGTCAGGTTGGTGAAGGATAAAAATTGTCACATATCTGGACATTGAAGAAAGAAGGTCAAGACATGTAATATGTGTAGAATAATGATCATATATTACA